CGTCTTGGTCTCACAACCTTGAACCCTCTTCCAATCAAATTCAAAATCTCGTAGCAAGAAACGTTGAGATAGGTGGTGGGTCTCCATGCCCAGCACATGTGCAAGCTACCAGTCACCGAAGGTTCACAACCTTATTGACCGAATTGTCTACCTTTTCCAGTATCTTTCACTGAATCCATGATCACCTGTTATCACAGGCTTGCAACAGGTCCGTATCTTCTTCCCTTAGCAGCCATGTCTCGTAGCCGCATAACAGGACAAAATGGACTGCACTGCCGTATAGTCACACTTTAACAAACAGGTAATCTGATATCTCCCCAGTCTAGGTCACAGATGGAGCAAGTTGGCAAAAGCCAAGTCAGACTTCCATATCTGAGCTGGGATTTCTTCAGCAGCCAACACGTTCAAACTTATGCAACTCTATACATTACTTGGTTACTGAAGTGTAACTCACTTTATGTTGTCTAGTCCTCTGTGCTGACCAAATTCTACGGATCATTTTGCAATGTGATCGTCAAACTACACAGCTCAGCATTCCGATGAACATCGACAGATGTTAGCTGAACGGAGGCAGTCAGTAGAAAACCATGGACCTGGGTTTCGTGCTTGATGGCACTCATCAACCGGGCGTATCTGCCACCCCGACGGAACTCATGCCGCACCTGAGGTTCCAACCGGCATCACCCAGTGTTCCAGGCAGCGACGTTACGACTAAGCTATTCGGAAGACGGCTGACCTCCTGTAGGACTGGATTAGATGCAGAACAAATAGAATTGCAGTGCTGAGCTAACAAGTATGGCGACCACATTGAAAATGATTGACAGAATTCGAGAAGCGAAAAGGACTAGAAAAAATGAAGCTGGTTTCCTCCAGTGACCAGCTAGTGTATCTAATACAGTCCAACAGGAAGCCAGTCTCTTCCCGAATAGCTCAGTCGTAACGCCACAGATTACAACACTGAGTGACGTGGGTTGGAACCTTAGGTGGGACATGAGTTCCGTCGAGGTGGCAGATACGCCTGATAGATGAGTGTCAGCAAGCATGAATATAAGGCCTACGGTTTCTTTCCGATTTCTTCCATCCAGCTACAGTTTATGCAAATCTTGAAGTAAGCAAACTAGTCGATATAGCCTACTGAATAACTGAAGATCATTTAATTTAGAATAGCTGCATACACTTTGTTGCACCATATTACACGTTATAAAGGCTAAAAGCACATCCCGAAATTTCCTTAAAGTGTTCAGAAGACCCCACATATTTTCATTCCCATCGCATAAAAACATAATGTTGTCTGCCTACTCCAAGTCAACTAGGCATCCTCCAGGAAGTAGATCAATTCCTTTGAAGTCAGACAGAAGTAGGATTATGTCTGTGAACAAATCTACAACAAACTCAGTTTTGAAGTTTGTGGAGATTTATTCATTTATTTCAAGTTGGCGGTGTCATGGGTGCACATTCTTGACGAGTCCCATTCTAGGATGCAACAGCTGTCCAGTGCACCCAAGTTTGCAATGTTTCTGCAACTTATATCAGTCCATGGTGAATACCGACCTAACATCTATAACGAGGTTGGACAGCAACCATGACAGCAGATATCCTTGCTGGACAATAATGGTTGTCGTCAACTTGGATGACAACTCTCCATGAACCCTTACACGGGTGCATCAGCTCGAGTCGAGAGCTTTGATTAGGGTTACAAACTGGTTTTGTACTCTCTTCACAGTCAGACACCACCACCACACCTCTCGGTCAGCAGTGGTAAATGCCACCTTCAGGTCAATAAATGTGGCTAGTATCCATCGCAGGTAAGTATACCTGTTTCGTGAAACCTGTCGAAGAGTGAAGATTTAATCAACGCACAACCATCCATGTTTGAAACCTACCCAGCTTACTTGAATTTCCTACTGTCAAGCTCATTTAGTAATTGATTAAGTGTGGTTCCTAGAATCTTGGACTTAATGTTAGCCAAACTGATCCCTGTACGGTTGTCGTAAGAATCCTCCCCTTTCTTGCAAACTGAAATGATCGGTGAATTAGACCAGTCTGTCGGGACTACCTCCGATTTTCACACGTTACTTAGTACCCTGGCTGTGCTACTCAGGATTTTCTTATCTCCGTGTCGTGAGCTTTGATTAGCTTTCTCTTTACTCCCTTCACAGTTAGACACTGCTGCAACACCTCTTTGGATACAGAACTGAATACTAACTTCAGATCGAGCTATATGGTAGGTGATATGGGACATTTAAATGGCAGTCGGCAGCTATTCAAACGTTTTGGAGGAAGCTGGTGTAGAAAGATAAACAGTTAGTGAAAGTATAGAATAGAAGGGGAAGTCTGCTATCCACTAAACTATCAATTTTCTAAAAGGGCCATCTGTGACGGACTCTAGAAAATTGTTCAATGAGCTCCGCTCTTCTGCTATAATCCTTCTATTTTGGTTACCTCAAGAAAAACAAGTCTTTCATGATATGATTAACTAAATAGTATCAACCGCTCACACGTTTTCTGTAATATAAAAAAATCAAAAAAACATAACTTACCCTCCTTACTTCAGCCTCAGCCTTTGCCTTCGGCTTCTGATGCTAATATTAAGCCTTCTTTCTGGCCTTAAGTTCTGACCATACTATGTTGATTACATTGTCAACTAGAAGATGCACCATCAAAGTGAATTTTGACAGGTTTTAGTTTGACGGAGGCAGTCGGCAGGAAGCCCTGCTCCATCTATGATTCGTGACTACTGTCAACATGGCATATCTGAAATCCAGAGGGAAACGTAGTTCCTTGTGACTTCCGGATCCCCTTATCCAGTGCTGCTACTCAACACATTACTACTGGGCTATTCACTTCATGAACGAGCGCTTATATGTCTGAATCTCAAAGGCGACATTATCTCGTCGAGGATGGAGTTACACCCTGCTGAAGAGTGCCAACAAGGATGAAACCTAGGTTAGATACAGCTTCCTACATATTGTATTCAGCCTAATAAAGGTGGAGAAATCCCCATCTGCGGTTTCTCTGTTCTGACAAAACCAGCAAGTTTAGGTTATCCGAAATTCGAAGCAGACAACCTTATAACTAGAGATAACGAAAACGAGTTCCAGGAAGTGAGACGTCTATCTGTGATCTGTCAACATTTTGTGTCGTGTCGAAATTACCCTAAATCTGCCTGTCCCAAATATTGACATTGACCACAGAAGATGCATACTGTAACTATAGAGAGAAAAGAAATTTAGACTTTTAACCATTTCATGTGTATGAGCGGAGATACTGACCCGAGTGCGTCTTTGGTCAGTGTGGTCTGTCTAAATATGCAGAAGTTTGGTTACCGCTTACAACTATACACTCCATGGAGAAAAACCGACATGTTTTTGTTGGCCCTGCAGAACAAGCCTTTAGTTCAGGGATGATATCCTATTGCGCTGCTTCCACGTGTACTTATACTTTAGTTTCTTACTCAGACTGAAGTTGAAGAGTGACTCCAAATGGGCAAACACTCTAGTCATTCACTGCTTAGATAACCAACTGCCTTTTTATATTTCATAAAAGACTACAGAAAAAAGAAATTCACCATGGAAAGTACTTTGAACTGTCACGACGTCGACAAATATGACTATAAATGCTGGGAGTAGCTCTAACGGCCGCCTTAGCAGCTACTGGAGTAAACAATCAGAGTTCTGTATTTTATGAAAAAAGCTACCTTTCCAATAAAAATAAGAAATGTAGTTGATAAATCTAGTTGCTGCTAGAGTTGCTTATTAATTCCTTCGACGTTCGTCATGCTTCCGATGTAGCATAATCTTAGGTGCGCTACGTTTTCCACCCTACACTAAGCTACACTGTGGGAAAGTTACTGAAAGCTGTCAGACATTTAGTTACTTTGTTCATCAAAGATACAAGCATTGAGGCTCCATTCACAGTGAAAAGCTGACTTGGATGAGTTGGCAGGGAAGAGTGTAAAGAACATTAAACACCCGAAAGTGATTTCACTAAGAAAGTTCTAAAATATATTGACTATCTCATAGCTGAAGGTTTTTGTATCAGCGATATCACCTTTTAAATTCCTAGACAGAGGTAGCGGTTATCAGGGGAATCGACGATGCACATTTCGTCCTATTTCGGAGTCGTCAGTCGAGTGAACCTGCCTCTAAGTGAGTGAGTGATTTTGTCCCTAGTGGCTTCAAGCGCCAGAGCGTTACCCACTAGATGGCATGTTACGATGGCTACTCCTCCTACAGCCAGCATAGTTTTGATGTTGTTGCTTGTAATTTAGCGTCATTGGTTGGACCGGACTGACCGACCTTCACTAGTGTACGGACTTCTATGCGTATGCCTTGATATTCTGTAAGTTCCAGTTAAGTATTAATGATGGATAGTAGTTATCAGCGGAATAGAGGACGCGATAAAGAAATGATAATGCACCGTCATCCAGCACAGAGTATAGACTTTTGAACGCCATGATTACCTCTATACGGCACTTTAAAGTTTTAGTACGCTAAGATTGATTTAACACAGCTTGCACAATTTCGTCAATCAGATAGTAGCAGTATCTGATAACCATGCAACTGTCCTAATCTGAACAGCTTCGTTGTTATTCCTCAAGTCTACTGGTAATCAAGTTTCCTGTTTGTGTCTAAAGTGTGAGTTATTGGCTGAGGAGCTCGGTTTTTAGTTGGCAAACGTCCCAGTGTCAAGCAGGGTAGACACTCTCGTGAAGGTCTGATGCACTCAACATAATGCGTCCGACATGAAATTGCTACGTTTTCCAACTGGAAGCCTAGCTCCTCAGGAAACAACTCACTGCAGACATCCACATTGTGAGTCACAAGTATTCACATCAATTTTAACTTCCCTACGTACGTGCACTGGGTCGTGTAAATTCATTGGAACTGTGTAGAGATGGGAGGAATTCCATTCAAGTCTGCCGTATACCACTAAAGCGACTAACTTGGATGCAAACGACTTCATTCAAAATGCGGTTAGCAGGTAGCACAAAAGGAATACCAACTGTTTCATAACAATTTATTAGAAAAAGCCTAATACATGTGTTTAACAACACTAAACGCACCTGATTGTGTATTTCCATCCCCATTGGACAGTTTTGCAGCAGACATATTAAAACAGTATCCTTCTTGTTCGATCGTAACTGTTCACATATGGAAGTGTTCTTGGTTGTGCTACAGTGCTTTGAAGGGTTGGAAATTGTTTGCTCTGTTGTAGAGTTGCAGCGTCTCTTGATGCCAATAAGTTTTGAAGTTGATTCGATGGCGAAGTTGGTCTTTCAAGAGAACTACGAGATCTTCTGAAGAGCATGTACGAAGGAATACGTTTCATTGGTGAATATGGTTGGAATGCAGTATATCTGTTCATCTGAACAGTACTCATCGGTGGTCCTAACCAGGGAGCTCTTTGTCGAGGACTTTGTGGTTGTATTGGTCTGTTGACACTGGATATCTAGACAGCAGTAAATTCCTTTTGTCCTGGTTAGGAAATGATGGTTGATATACAGGATTGAAGATCATTGTTTGTGGTAGTGGCGGAGGTGGTAGTTGTGCTAGTGGTAGTGGTGAAAAGGTTTGTGGAGTACTGAAGGCGTTACTGTTGCCGATTGGTGGTGGATTCCAGATGACAGGTAGCCCAGGTTTCCATTGTTCAGCGTTCACTGGGATGTACTCATCTTGGTCGTCTTCACCTTTATTAGCACTCACATTATTGATTAACGATTCGAATTCATTCTCCGTTAAACCCACATTTGTTTGAGTGTTCGGCATCGGGGTGTTTGGTGGCATAACATACAATGATGTTGCATCATTGGAACCAAGTAATGTATACGCTGTAGGACTTACAATCTTATTTGAAATCGGCGGAATTGACGAATTCCTTCTCACTGAGTCGAATAGGCTGACGGATGGTTCTGGAACTTCCTGCCATTCATCGTCTGGTAATACTCCATCAGTTGATGAGGAACTCTGGAATGCGGCATTCGATAGTACACTTGCAGTATAGCCTTGTTGAACAGACCACAGTAGCAGTATACACAGAAAGAGAGAATCGATTAGACCACTCTCCGGTAGCATAGTATTGTGTTAAATAAACTGGAAATATAAAATTCATCATCAATTAACTTTGAATACTAATCAGAATTTTCGAAATTTCGCTTATCCAATCACAACGAACAATTTGCTGATATATTTTGATGAGACATCAGACTGAGTGATTTCACTGTTTTTTGATTGCATGAATAAATTCGATCGATTGATTTTATGAAACTGTCTGAATAATAATCAAGAGTTTGAAAACTGGAGATTTTAGTTGAAATTCTGAGAGTTAATTAATTATTAGCACACTTGAAGGTATACATGGAGCTATAGAGTGAATTACGGTTATTATTAATTGTAATCTTCCGTTGTTATTCTGGATCAAATTGATGAACCTGCCTTGATATATGGACTACTATGTGAGTGCCTCTATTTTACTTGAAGATTCATTACGCTATATTTTTCTTGAAGTGCCCAGTAGTGGAGTCTGTGACATCTGTGATTTGTCCTTTTTGCGACTCGCCACACGGACGAACTTACATCCCAGCGAGTGTCGGTGTTTCCTGTGAGACTCAAACCAGAACTCAACGCTTTTGATGCTCCTGCTAAACACCACCAAACAAATCAAAACTTGTGCAATCTTCAGGCAACATGGAGGCATCTGGATAAGAGGCGACGCGTCACTTCGGTTCAAACCAATCAGCAACGCAGAATTATAATCATCAATAGGTAATAACTCATAACTATTACAACCGAGATGGCTGTAGTGAGTCACTAGCCTAATGAGTAACCCTCCAACGTAAGAAGTGACGGGTGTTGTGTTCGGGTGTTGCTGGGAAGGTCGATACTTACTGGGATGTAGACACATTCAACTTACGAGTGGCTAACTGGAAGAAACGCGCATCCTGGATCCCTCTACTAGTTACCATCAATAAATTACAAGATTATCATACTTGTTGTTGTTGTTGTTGGTTACCAGTTCAAACGAATGCAAATATTTTGTCATGCTTTCAACTGATCAGGCTGATTGATGATATGCTTTTCTCATCGTTGGTGATCTCTCTGAGAGTTGAAAGCAGTAGTCATTCAGTCAAACTTTGAAACGACATTACCCAATTCACCTAGTGAACTAGAATAACTTCAGAATAAGTGAGGTTAGACAATAACAAAAGGTAATTTTCGTGTAAAATGATGGAATTCAATTGGCAGGAAGCAGTGTACTCAGGTCTCGTACTTCCCGGCATTCATCGGTGCGGCGAAAGTTCCTGTCTTCGTTATCCTGTGACGTGGCAACACTGAAATCCAGTATACTGTAGTGTTGTGTTAATTCTCGGTAGTGACCAACTTACATTTTGAACTCAGCTGTGATGATCTAGCTTACAATCAAAGTGAATTTTTAGTTACGTGGTGTCACCACGTGAGTAACACAGAAGTCAGGCGTAGACTTCTAGAGAGAGAGGTAAGTCGGTTGACGAGGTTGTGAACCTTCATCGACTGAGATGGTTCGGACATGTGTTACGTATGCCTAGTCGCAGTCTGCCTCGTTACACAATGTTGACCGAAGTAGGTTCAGGCTGGAAAGAATATTGAAGGCGGCCAGACTAAAAGGTGGCATCAGTATATGAAGTCTTTGACTGTTGATTCGAGCCATGTGGAGCAATGCAGACTAGTCGGATGGGTTTGGTGGGACAAGAGAAACCAGTGGTTGCAGACTGACTAAATGATATGGCTCAGAACCGATGTCAGTGGCGCAGAAATATACTCACATTATCCTCATCTTAACATTGGTTTCATTTCAAATGCATTGGTTGGTGTCTCCTAAGAGCCTGATATCGGTTTCACATTGAATCCTTCACTGTCCCAACCCTAATGTCGAATCACATAGCAGGCATCGATCACCAGAATCATGAAATCTCGAGTCATGGATGTATGCTGTGTTACTGAGACACACTTGATGAGCGCGAGTGTGGTTATTCACTTGAGCTTACTTGGCCAATGCGATGAATCTCCAAACATTCCCTTTGCGATTGATCACAGATTTTGTGGTTAGCTCTCATTGACTCGCTGTTGTAGGCATAGCATTGAGTTGTAGAGAAGAAGGTGACGGAAATACTTTGCAATGGTCACGAGCAGTGGTAGTTTGCGAAATCGAAAACAGTTTAGAGAAGCCAAAAGCATTAGGTAATACTGGCCAACTTACTGAGGATACTGACAATAAGAAAACACTAGTTAGCCAAAATACGTCAATAGAAAATTGTATGAAGCACTTCAATACATAGCTCAAGTGACCTACATCATTACTTTGGTTACCTAGCGTCCAGCCTGGACCTGAATTGGACGTAGATCTCGATTCTTTAACTCTCCAAGAAGCTTGGAAATCCATATAGGACTTGAAACGATGGAAAGCAGCTGGGCATGACGCTCGGCACTTAAAATTCATAAGGAATGAGACAAGAAATTCCTGAGTAGCACAGCCAGGGTACTAAGTAACGTGTGAAAATCGGAGGTAGTCCCGACAGACTGGTCTAATTCACCGATCATTTCAGTTTGCAAGAAAGGGGAGGATTCTTACGACAACCGTACAGGGATCAGTTTGGCTAACATTAAGTCCAAGATTCTATGAACCACACTTAATCAATTACTAAATGAGCTTGACAGTAGGAAATTCAAGTAAGCTGGGTAGGTTTCAAACATGGATGGTTGTGCGTTGATTAAATCTTCACTCTTCGACAGGTTTCACGAAACAGGTATACTTACCTGCGATGGATACTAGCCACATTTATTGACCTGAAGGTGGCATTTACCACTGCTGACCGAGAGGTGTGGTGGTGGTGTCTGACTGTGAAGAGAGTACAAAACCAGTTTGTAACCCTAATCAAAGCTCTCGACTCGAGCTGATGCACCCGTGTAAGGGTTCATGGAGAGTTGTCATCCAAGTTGACGACAACCATTATTGTCCAGCAAGGATATCTGCTGTCATGGTTGCTGTCCAACCTCGTTATAGATGTTAGGTCGGTATTCACCATGGACTGATATAAGTTGCAGAAACATTGCAAACTTGGGTGCACTGGACAGCTGTTGCATCCTAGAATGGGACTCGTCAAGAATGTGCACCCATGACACCGCCAACTTGAAATAAATGAATAAATCTCCACAAACTTCAAAACTGAGTTTGTTGTAGATTTGTTCACAGACATAATCCTACTTCTGTCTGACTTCAAAGGAATTGATCTACTTCCTGGAGGATGCCTAGTTGACTTGGAGTAGGCAGACAACATTGTCCTGATAGACGAAGGAACTGAGAAGATAAAGAGTCTTCTAAATGCGTTGAACAGAAATCAGGCTATGTTTGGGATGTGTTTTGCAAGTGTAAAATTTAAGATAAAACTGCATGCCGTATGCAGCTACTCTGAGTTAATTGATGGGGAGTGAAGCAGTAGAATACGTTGACTGCCTCACTTACTTTAGGAGTTGCGTCCGACCGAAAAGGTGTTTCCTGGAGAAATCTCAGCTAGGACAAAGAAGTCTGGCTTTGTATTTGTCAACTTGCTCCATCTGTGGTCCCGGCTGATAACTACTTGTTTGTCAAATGGTGAGTACACTGACCTGCAGTCTATTCTATCCTGTTATACGGCTGAGACATGGCTGCTGAAACAAGAAGATATAAAGCTATTACAGCTTTCTGATGACATGTGTTCTTGTAACATTGCTCGCGCATGGTGGAGTTACAATGTGAGCGAGTAGAGGTTACGTGAAATGTGCTGGGCAAGGAAGAAAATTCGGTCGATTAAGTGACAATTGAGGAAGCTTGAATATTTTTGCGCAAATCAATGTGCGGGTAGAAGTTGGATTACGTTCAAAGGAGGCTTAGAGTAGACAGACTGAGAGGTAATATAGGTCAGTAAAGTCTATGACTCTTGGTATTAGCCGTGTGAGGATGTGTAGACTGCCTGGTTGGAATCCTCAAGAAGACATGAATCAGCAGGTAGTTATTTCAATGCATTTTGATTTTCTGATTGGCTACAGTCAGCCCACTAATCACTTTTTTTAGTCAACTAGATTCTCCATGTAAGGTCAATAGCAATATGGCCCAACTATCCAAATGGGAAACATATGTCGTCACGAATTCGTGGGGTATTCTGATGCCTATACTGTTCATGAATTTGATATACATACACTTTGTCAATAAACAGGACGGACGCGTCATTCAATATCGTAGTAAAAGCAAAGAAGTTCATCAGCATACAACAACTGAAAGATTGCACTAGATTCAACGATGAATACGCAGACTTTTGATAATGGAAACTACTGAATCTATAGTGGTGATTTCTAGACCCCAGTCAAAGTGACACACTAACCCCGAAAGTCAGGATCAAAAATATTGAGGCTTATTAGTAGGATGGAACTGTATTTAAATCTAGAATATAATTAGAAAAGCAATAATAGTGGTAATTACTACCTTCACTTGTGCTGCTTCTGTGGGAAAACACCACCGACTAAATTATCTGCAAATAGTGTGTAATTCAAAGTAGCAGCTTACTTCTCTAGCCAGTAGACTAATCAAATAACTATATATGTTTCGCCCAAAATATACAAAGCAAATATCGCATCACTTTCAATACCATCTACCTGTTGCTGCCCAAAGTACAAATTGGCGAAATGGCTAGCATGAATACCAAGTATTGTATTATAAGATACTTTGGAATTTACTGACCACACAAATGATATTATTGCCAAAAATAAGACAATTTATTCTCTCGCTGTTATTTGTTTATTTGCCAACGTTCTTTTAACCAAGACTGTTGATATTCTCTGTGACTATATATCCTTGAATATTCCATCATTGTTCAATCCAAAATATTCGAAAGAGCCATTACTACCGTACACCGATAAGGTTCACTTCACTTTCGAAGTTTTTGGTGTCACCATGCGTAGTCATTTAGGACCATTGTTAGCTGATGTCTATATGTCACATGTAGAACTTTTGACTGAAGATTTAATCAACGAAATCCCTCTGTGCAGAAGATAACTTGATGATATCTTAGTTATGTGTAATA